ATTTAAGCTAAAGTGGGTTATTGAACCTGAAGCTTGTTGCTTCTGCCCTCCTCGACTACGGTCTGGGAGCCGACAGGAAAGTTCAACACACAGATGGCCAGTCCGCCCCTTTGTAGCATATTATTTCAATGAGAGATGAGCAGATCGCCACTGGGCTTTCAACTAAAGACACAGCCACGCAAAAACTGCGGCATTTGTAAAGCTCCTTATGGGTACTGCAATTGGTACAGCCCTGCACCACGGAGGAAAGCGGCAGAAAGTCACCTGGAGTTAAACAGAGCGGGGCTGCGTTGCGTGCATGGCTTCCTTCTGCAGGTAACGGGGAGACGCGCTCTGGCGGCGGTCTCGTTCAGGATCCGAAAATACAATTTAAATATTTTGCACACTTATTCGACTTATTCCTAGTGTGCCACTGGTTACGGTGCCGCGTGCCAATGCTGGCACGCGTGCCAGGGGTTGCCGACCCCTGGTCTAAGTTATCTCAGTGGGTCTCAAACGGTTTGGTCACAATTTATGTAAACAAATATTTCCAAGGCACTCCTTTATAATTATTAGGATAAATAAAAACAGGTTTGAAATCATTCCAATGTATACTATAGACAGTAAACCAAAAATATCCTTTAAAACTGGAGAGATTAAAAAATATGCATAAATAAATAACTGTTAACTATGTAAAATAAGATATAAATGAACAACAAAAATAAAGTACGTTACATTTATTTGTTATTGGCTATGGTAGGTTATTGGTTATGTTCACATACTTATTTGATTATTAAAATGTAAACCGATCTTCTTCATATGGGTGTTTTAGAGTTGTACCCCCTAGATCCAGTCTCTTGTAATTATGCTCAAAGTGCTCCAGATTGAAGCATTTTACTTTAAAATGTTAAAAACAATCTTCCCGGGGGGGCATACCCCCGGACCCCCTTAGAGGATGTGACGTGTTAAAACATGTTAATACAATACTAAATACATTTTAAGCCTTTTTATATAAGCTGTCCAACATGTCAATAATGCGGCTTTCACACCAGTGCTTTTCCCATTCTAGCTCCGAGCTAGAGCTTTTCTGGTTCAGCTCCGGTTTCCCTTTTCTGCTCCCGCTCTGTTCACACCGCCCAGAGCCCGACTGGTGCTGCCGCTGCTGCGTCATGACGTCACCGTTTACATCGCTGATTTGCTCCCCAACGGCGCTCACAACAACAACAACAACAACAACAACGGGGGACTGCGTCGGGTCGATGATCGTGTTGCTTTTAATCATACGAAGCCAGATTAAATTAAATAACGACTTCTCCAACCTTATACTTTTCTCCAGAGTGCCGTGGTTCATTGTTTATTAATGTGTTTCAGCGGCATTTACCGACCGCTGCAGTGCTGGCTGCTCTTCCACGGGAGTTTATTCTCCCGTTAGCTCCGGGTTAGCTCACACGGCTCTAAAGTATTCACTGTCTGACTGTCACACAAGCAGCTGATACATATCCCCAGTTCCCCTTAAAGTGGACCTATCATGGTATATTTAAATGATATATTGTAGGGCCATACCTATATAAGGTATATTTATACGTTTCTGTTTTCAAAATACCAAACAGATCATGCATTTTAGCCATGCCTCATTTTGCTCAATTTGCACTTTTTTTTAGCTCTGCTCTGCAAGGGCAGATTCAGTGAGAACAGCACCATCTACTGGCCTGGCATATGTACTACAGCGTCTCCAGCGCTTTCGAACGGCAATGGTCATGGCTGTCTCCTCCTAATTGGTGGAGTTGGCCCAATAGCCGTAGCGCCACCGTCCTGACGTCAGGACAGTGTTCAAATCTGGATCAGTTTTTATCAGATCCGTTGCAGCCTCTTTTTTAGAGATTTGGGTATGGAGGAAAATAGAGAGGGTTGTGTTTTCTGACACTTGGTGAGTTCCCTGGATCACCGGGGACACATATTCATGTATAAAAGACGTACAAAAGTGCATTTTGCATGATAGGTCCCCTTTAAGTTGCAGCCCATGTATTGATTCTATCCGATAGCTGCTATAATACAAAACAAAACGTCTCTCCACAATGATCAATAACAGCGAACGGATGGTCAAAGTAAGGTACAAATAAACAGAATCACACGAAGAGCCTGGTTAGTGTTGCCTGACTTTATAAAGTGTTTTTTTTTTTATAAGTGTGTTGTTGCCTTCTAGTCACTTTGCTCAGCGCTACTTCTTGTAGGCAGGCATGACGAGACTCTTCAGTCGACCCATGTTCAGGGGAGGTGGGTTTAGTTTCCTGCACGCCTCGACGGGGGGGGGGGGGGGGGGGGGGGGGGGGATGCCAGCTAAAATCTTGCCTAGGGCAGCAAATTGGTCAGAACCGGCCCTGGTGTCATCCCCACAGCACCCCCCATTTGAAACATGTTCCCACGGCTATGTTAGATGCATTCTTTATCACTGTTACGCCCAGATCTAGGGGAAACTAGGCGCAGCATAAAATTGCCCTCTCCCAACTCTTCCCACTCCCAAGAACATGGACACCGAGACAGAGAATGCCGTTTGGTCATTTTAATTACCAAAGTTTTTAACAAAGAAACGCAACAACCCACAAAACAAACAAATCTCTGAACACATAAATATTGCCTAACAAATAAGAAAAATAAACGTACAGGCTTCTTACCTACTCTGACGTATAAACAGGAGAAAACGAGAATCAACCAAAAGAAAAGGGTTTCACACTTTTGCATAAATTAAAGCGTGTCCAACAAGGACAGGTTAAAGTAGTTTCTTTTCTGAGGTTTTCAAGACAAGCAAGAGGACCAGTATACGGTATAAGTAGGACACAACAGGACAGATACAGGAGGAGGGAACAATATCTACACACAAATGACATAACGACCCAGGGTCGTAACAATCACCATCATCATCATGTTACAGTGATACAGTTAGTTTGTGTTAGTTTATTGGTTCAACTTTCTTCATTGTTTTTTTTGTATTCAGTCAAGCGGGTCAAAGTTACAAAGCACTTCACATCTTGCTTTTCTACAGATTACCTTACCACTGCACTGGTAAGGTAAAACTAGGCCGGTTAATAACGTATTTAGGTCAGCCTTAGTAAGGCTACATTAAATGCATATATTCCTGTCTATTGCTTTCATTTGTATTTAATGTTATTGTTTCCACACATTTCACAATTTGGGATGAATGAGGTATCTATCTATCTATCTATATATCCATCTATCCATCCATCTATATATCCATATATCCATCCGTCTGTCTGTCTGTCTGTCTGTCTGTCTACAGATAGATAGATAGATAGATAGATAGACACCCATGAAACAGAACTGTAAACAGATGTACTTTTTCTTTATGGATATTTTACAAATCACTCCCCTTTTTAAACTGTATTCTTGTTTTACTGTCATATAGTATTTCATACCTGTTTTTCATTTATTCTCTTATTGTTTTATAGCCTAACTATAATGATCATATGAAGTGTGCCTCGGAAATACTTGTTTACATAAATGGTGATCAAACTGTTTTGAGACCCACTGAGATAACTTAGACTAAAGTTAACTATCTAAACACTGAGAGTCCTTTACCTCACTGAGCTGACGTTATCTGACAGGAGAGGACTTTCCTTTCACTAAGTTGTAGAAACAGCTTCTAATATCGGTTAGCGCAGCAACAACAATCTTGCTCTCTCTCTCTCTCTCGCTCGCTCACTCGTGCCACACAGACACACACGGAGCCGAGCTTGAATGAAACACCCAGAAGTAGGCTACTTGTACTGTACTGTAGCAGCATATCATTTTCGAATCAATCATTTTTCAAATTACGAAGTTCACATATATTATATTATACGGACGGACAGACGGACAGACGGACATATAGATAGATACTTCATTCATCCCAAATTGTGAAATGTGTGGAAACAAGTATAAACATAATAACATGAAATACAAATGAAAGCAATAGACAGGAATATATGCATATACAGTAGAAAGGACACAATGAATATTATAACATTTGATGTAGCCTTACTATGAAGGCTAACCTAAATACGGTGCTTTTTTACAGATGACCTTATCTGTACTGGTAAGGTAAAACTAGGCCGATTAATAAGATGTGAAGTGCTTTGTAACTTTGACCCGCTTGACTGAATACACAAAAAACAATGAAGAAAGAGTTTCCTCTGGGCTGCTTCGCTGCCAGCTGCTCTGGGACCCGAAAGTGGCAGAGCCTGTACTTCAACATCAATGCATACGAATGTGCTCGATATATGCTGTATTGAACCAATAAACTAACACAAACTAACTGTATCACTATAACATGATGATGATGGTGATGAAGAATGCATCTAACGTTCCGCTGTTCATTATAATACAAAAACAGAGTATTAAACAAACCATCATGCTCTTACTTTGAAATCATGCGGAAATGTTGTCATCAGCAGGCCATCACGTGGTTTCCGAAAACAACCGAGTGACACGAGTAGATTTTTTGCCGAGACCGGCGGAAAGTATGTCTCAAAATTCCGTGTGTGTAAAAAGACGATCCACAAGCAGAGATTTGAGATCCACAAGCAGAGATTTGAGATCCGCAAGCGCTTTTTTGGTTGACAAATACAAAATGGATTCACAAATGCCTGATCGAAAGTTGTCAATGTTAAAGAGATATTCACAGATCTTTTTTTTATTTGTGAAAATATTTAGCGTATTTGCAGATCCGTTTTACATTTGCAAATTTATTTGTGAGTTTGCAAATCTTTTAAATGCATTTGTGGATGGTGTTTTACATTTACAAATCACATATTTACACACAAATTATTTTTCTGTTCACACAAATAATTATGAGACATATCTATGCCCATAGCTCCACATTGTTATTTTAATCATGTTTGGTGTTGTATCCTCTAATTATAAGCTGTGCAGGTTGAACAGTGAAGTGAGCACCTGTTAACAAACTGTTTTCACTTTGCTAAGTTAGCAGGCTAGCGTGTGAATGCTAAAGTTAGCCGTGTACTCACATTTCCTAACTCTTTAGTCCGGTCCCGCATTTTTTCAGAGAGTCAGATGTCAGAAAAGCTGCGACTCCACGCGGAAGTATGGTAGGTTGTTCCCAAGCAGAGAAAGAAACTCTAAAATAAACTGGAAACTTTGATATTGGCTGCGTTTCACTTCGGTTAAATGGATCCCTTGCGTCCCTCACTTGCGTCGTTTCCCTGCGACTAGTCCCTCCCACCAGGGAAGCATGGAGAGACGCAAGGAAACCACGAGAAGCAGGGAAATGAGTTTTATGAGCAATGGGATGTCCTTTCCTCCGGAGCGTCACGTGAAGTGACGTCCGTTTGTGATGACGCTGCACAGCTGATCGTCTGACAGCAGCTCTGTCCCCGTTATTTTCACAAACACCCGCGCCTCTGTTAGTACACATTTACTGACACAAACATTTGTATCATCTGTTGTAGACCCAAATAAATAAACTCAAATAAGAACTGATTCTCAAAAAAGATAAACGCCATTCTTAAAATGTATAAACGAACAGTTAGATTAATATTGATTAGAGTGCACAATAGAAATAAAATAATTGAGAGAAGAAAAAGAGATATGTTATCTATCAAAACCCAGTTAGATTAGCATTAATTGGATTGCACACTTTATTTGTTTGTGTGGATATGTAGCAAATGAACATGTTAAATAGCACTTAATGACTGACTGAATGGAAATGACAATAAATGAAAATGTAAAACGAAAAAAGCGATCATGAAAATGTTTCCAATAAATGAATAAAATGATTTTTGACCACTTTGTTGTTCAGATATATCACATATTTGTAACTGAATGATGCATTCATTGAAACAAAACACAGTATAAACTGAGGAGTGAGTCCCGTGAGTTTCATGTGTTTTCTTCACTCCGCTGGGAAACTCTGCTCTCATGTCAAGAAGCATCAGATCAGTGCATGCGCTGCATCGTCCAATCAGTGAGCGATACACAGTAAGGGGGCGGGGCGAGTATCTGAGGATTTCATCGAAGGATGGTCTGGTGGTTCCTCGATTATAGCTCCTCCATTATCGCTCCTCGCTCCTGGCTCCTCGGTCCTCCGGCAAAAATAAGGCCATTGGGACGCTACTCAAGATGGCGCAGACAAATCAACTTCCGGTGAGACCGAGACCGAGGAGCGAGGAAATGAAAAATAAGAGAAGTGAAACGCAGCCTTAAACGACGTCTGTTAATGATGACATGTGCACAGCTGTATCTAACTTATTTAACTGAATAACCCCTTAGAACCGGCCCATTTATTGTTAAATATGTATTTAAATGATGAATCTTTCTCTTGTTAGTCAAGGAATTCAATGTATGATGGTTGGTCCTGCTTTTGTGTTCCGTTTTGGTGTAAAATGTAGCCTACATTTAAATACAAATATAATTATAATAATGTGAAAGCCTTTACTCTGAACATGTGTGTCCTGTAGATCCCCACATTCACCACAAACCCACATTCAGGACTGTGCATTTTAAATAATTTAACTCCTGAATATCTTAACACAAAAACAATACAAATAATTGTTATTTATCAAGATCTAGCCATTTATGAAATAGCTTTCTTAATAGCTATGTTTTAGTGACGTTCAAGATCATTAAACATGACTTAAATTGTTAGTATAACCTTAAGAAATGAATTGCACATAATAATTCCCACGGAGCTGTGAGCACTTATACATTTATGTGACGCTTTTCCACTCATTCTTCCAGTTCTTCGTTTTCCTGTGTTGAAATCGACCAGCTGTGAAGGTGGGGGCGGGGCTTTTATACGCGAGTAGTGAAAACACTTCCGCGTAGTCTGCTCTCGTGTATCCTCCCTTTCGTCTCCTCCCGCACCCCTCCTCCCTCACCCCTCCTCGACTCCTCCGTGTGCATTTCAGCTATTGGGACGTCCTTCAAAATGGCGTGTCTTGATCGATTTCCGGGTCAAGTCCTGGAGGAGGGGAAGAGAGGAGTCGAGGAGGGGTATTGGAATGAGGCTCCTGCGTCTCTCCATGCTTCCCTGGTGGGAGGGACTAGTCGCAGGGAAACGACGCAAGTGAGGGACGCAAGGAATCCATTTAACCGAAGTGAAACGCAGCCCTAGGTTGCGGTCGAATAGTCCATTTAGCTTAGGAACCTTCCTAACGGAGTGAAATGACCCGGAAGTCCCTCAGTGGCAGCCATGATAAGTGCCGTTCGAATTCTCTAAATTAAAAGGAAAGGAGGTTCCAAACTTCCTTTATAACCTCCTTTAGCTTAGGAACCACTGGACCTCCCTAACCGAAAGGAGAGGAGAAAATGCTGCCCCACAATGCCTTGCGGCCGTCGCATTTGCCGTCACACAACAGTCGGCCGTTCACGGAAACAACCGATTATGAACGAGAAATGATATCATGAAAGTTACGGTGCTTATTAAGCATTTTAAAACGTATGTGGTAAGTTGCCAAAGTGCTTTGTTTTGAACGTTCATCAGTATTATAATCAAAAAGAGAAATATGAACGTTAGTTTTTACTGAAATGATCAAATAAAGTCAACATTTCACAGTCTTTACTGAGCTGTGTGGGGTTTGTTCAACTTTTAAAAGATGTTTGAATGGTGATATACACAGTGATAGATGTTAAGGACTAACGTTTATAATAAATACATTTGTATTGATTTTAAGATCTTTTCATACAATCATACGTATTGGGATCATTTGTATTAATGTGGACCGGAGGGAGAGGGTGACGAGCATAAGTTTCACTTTCCTTTTTTATTTCAATTCCAACTTTGGTCATGAAGAATATGTTTCTCTGTTGTCCCCGTTCATAAAGCATAACACAACAGCATCAGAGCACGGTCTCTAGATGAGTTTACAGTAGTCCCTCGTTCTTATTAAACATCCATGTTGTAGTCCGCTGTATAGAAAACTGTAGTTTCCATAGTTTCCCCACAGCAGCAGGCGCACATTTATGACCTCCGCTGGCGCATCATAAACATGTCGGATAGTGAAAGTGCAGTCGGATTCTCTAAAGTACCGCAGTCTCTTCTCCTAAATCCTTTTGAATTCTCCTATCCACTATTCCTTAACCCCATGACGTTTCACTCAGAGGTCAAGGAATAGACGATAGGGTTAGAACTTAGGAGCTGTTTTTTTGGAGTATTCGACCGCAACCCTAGTGTCATTCACCAAGAAAACTACAGTAGCAACCCTTCTTCTTCTGGTTCTAGTCAAAACATCAGACGAGGACTCATTGGCGCCCTCTGTGAGAGCAGATTGCAACAGCACTGAGTCATGATTTACAGTTGAATTATTACAATTATTATAGGTTTTTTTCTTGTTTTTGTCACTTTTTATATCGTTTTTTCAAGATCTATTTATTTAAATTTCATATTTATTCCACACAACCAATCGAATAGAGACCCCACAAATATCAACCAATTACAGAACTAAAACATCACATTTTTTAATGCATTTTTTGTATACATTTGTACAATTTAAAAGGAACTGCAAGACGGTTTCCATGTCATGTATATTCCCAAAATAGGTACATTAAGGAATACATGTAATTTACTGCTAACAAAAGAGCTCCTGGAGATCAGTCAAATGAAAGCCACTCAGTTGCTGCCATTTCTCTGACAGCCACAAGATGGTGCTGTTTTCCTGCAGAAACTGTATAACTGCACCAACCATCACATCCAATAAAGCTGTTTACACCACAGAAAGAGTTAACTATACTTAAAAAAATCTGTCATCAAAACTGAACTTAAATTAAAATAAACACCTTCATGACTAAAACAGCCATTATGGAGAATTAACAATGTCTTTATGAATATTCACGCCTACTGACATTTCCTTTTCGCAAGCTATAAATAGTCCTATTGGAGACTGATAAGGCTAATTATGTGTATGGCATTTAAAATACACCCTTCAGATAATAAACCTTCAAAATAAACAGTCCAGATGACTATTGTATACCTAAAATGTCCTTGATTCTTCATTACAGCAAGAACGCGTATCAATTTAAAGTGATGTAGCTTTAAAAAAGGAAATTATTTAATGGGTTTCAAAGGATTTATTAACAAGCTGATCCGGAAGCACCAATTATGGGATTTTTCAATATCTTGTGCAAAGCTTACAGGGCTCTATGATTGTCCTTGACCCTTTACTGATGACCTATATTCAATGTGACAATTAGAAAATCTATTACTTTAATCCTTACTTCCTGTATTTAATTACTCTGCTGGCCTGGTTTAACATCCCATTGTCAAATTGTGACCTGTCCCCTCGTCACGAACAGCCTCAGTGTGGACATTGGTTGATAGCATTTCAATTAAAGCTTGATTATTCCTTTTCGTATTATTTGACGTATTTTTTTTTAATGCTTTATATTGTTGTGTTTCATAAGGGTGACGCCTGTCTTTGCATTTATTGAAACACTTTTAGGCAAATGGCTTTATTTTAGGAAACAGGAAAGGAGTGTTTCTGCTTAATCATTTATAATAATAATATAATAAAAACACACAACAATTAGAAATGCATTGATTTGTAATGTCAAAAGTGATGCTGTATTTCTGAAATATTCATTTAAAAAGAAAGTTGTATTGTATAAGGCTGTCACTAAAATCAGTGTAAATGGCAGAAATAGGAATATTGTTTAAAATGCATGTACATTCTGAATGAATACCCAGAGTATAGAGTATAGCGCACTTAGATATTGCAGTCAGTTTATCACAGTTTATATATAAACACAGTATGGGGTGATAACTGCTAAATTAATAAAGATATAGCTGGGAAAAAATATTTAAAAAAACTGTGAAATAAAAGATGAAATCATCCTTTGTGGCTTTGAATGGAGCTCTAACTCAACTACACTTCCCATAGTGCACCGGTGGTGATCGTCGTGTCGCCAGCGAGCTGTCAGTGTTGGGGGAGAGAGGAATCGGTCCAGCATCTCTGGAGCGGCGGAGAGGAGCGGAGGACAGAGACACATCAGCTAAAATGACGAGATTTTAGCTCAATGTTCCCCACACTGGATGTTCAAAGCGTGGTTGTTTAAAAACGGCCCCTTCCCGTCTGCCGTAGATCAGCGCGGAGATCTGACTTCATTCTATCAATGAGAGATATGTGGAGTGGCTCTACCGCCCGGTGTTAACGCAGAAAAACACAAGATGAAGAAGCAGTTCAACCGAATGAGACAGCTCGCCAACCAAACAGTGGGCAGGTAAGAGCAGAATCTGAGAAAACGCGTTTATGTGCACGACATCTTGCTTTGTAATTTGCCCTGACACAAAACAGCAAAAGCAGGTATTCATCGGCTGTGTTCGGCTGCCAGCTTTACGTTCACTCGATGGGATTGTGCTGCTCAGCTGGTTTGATTTGCACAAAGCATTAACTGTCAGTGGAGGTCACAGTTGCAGTGTTGTGTGATTGATTGAGCCCAGCAGGGGAGGAGCGTATCCGCACACATGATGAGGGAGCGGACATGGTACCCATCAGGGAGCAGGGCTGCTGCTGCCCACTGACCGATAAAAGCATCGCACAGGGCGGCCACAGGGCACCCTGCAGCGGCGAGTCAGGGCACCCTCGTTACACTAACATGTCTGCAGTGACATCATGTCATTTCCCCCCATTATTTTAACAAATAGCCGTTTTGCCTTTATTTGTTGTAAGTGTTAGAGAGGTTAGAGAGTATGATTTATGGATGATCGTGGCATCCCATTAATTTGGATTCCAACCCGCTCAAAAAAGAACATTGAGTAAAGATGAGCACTGAACATGATACGTATCTTTAGATGTCATCTGCAAAAGTACGATATATCTGGCTTGACATATAAATGTTAAGAGACCCAATGATTGAGCCGTGGGGAACTCCATTAAATAGTAATAATAATTCCAATAAAATCTGGTCACTCCGCACACACTGTATGATTGCAGATAGTGAGAATTCAGAACGTTTTTCTGATGTGTCGTCATAGTTTGTCCTCATTTTTTCTTTTGTTTTGAATGTTTAAGTTAATCTCAGCCCAGCGGTGAGTCACAGTTCTTGTAACTTTAAACCAAAATATTTGTGTTAACGTGTAGGACAACCTTTTACCCCACCAATGCAATGCAAGTTTTACCATGATGGTTGAAAGGAATGTAGTGATCCAATACATTCTATATGTTAAATACCTACTGATTTATGCTGTTTGGTGTCAAGCTCCAGAAAAGCCTTTTTTAATCATTGAAATTAAATTCCTATTTAGCGCTTTGCATACTGTGCCATTTAAACATAGTAACATGTCAGGGTTGATGAATGTAGATGTGTTTAATCCTTGTAAATCCTCAGAGCATGAAGCTGCATCAGATAGTATGCAAACGTATGAAATGCTTTAGATGAATGTGCTTGAGTTTTTGTGATTTATTCATTTTCACTGTGCCTGTTTCCCCCTGCCAAGCTTGATGTTGCAAATAGATCTTTGTTTGTTGATCCTAGTTACGACCTGAGGCTCGGTAAATAGTCCAAAAACACATGACCCATTTTGGGTGTATCTTTACTATGAAACTACCCACAAGTGAATAGCAGTTTTCTGTCAGGGACTCACTGGGGTTTTGCTTTTTTGAGCCTGTATGTATGGTGTATGCAGGGAGGAATTGAAGAGGTGTAGCTGCAGCCTGGATCTCAATAGGTATTGTTTTGTCTTATATTTGTCAACCACACCCTATTCCTATAGCTCGTAACTGAAGCCAATAATGTCATAATATGTCAACACTGTGCCTTTGGCAATTTGGAGCGAGTGTTGTTTAATTGTTGCGCAACCTTAAAGGGGACCTATCATGCAAAATGCACTTTTGTACGTCTTTTATACATGAATATGTGTCCCCGGTGTTCCAGGGAACTCACCAAGTGTCAGAAAACACAACCCTCTCTATTTTCCTCCATACCCAAATCTCTAAAAAAGGGGCTGCAACGGATCTGATAAAAACTGATCCAGATTTGAACACTGTCCTGACGTCAGGACAGTGGCGCTACGGCTATTGGGCCAACTCTCCACCTATCAGGGGAATGTGGGGTTGGGCCACGGCCGGCCATTGCCGCTCGAAAGTGCTGGAGACGCTGTAGTACATATGCCAGGCCTGTAAGTGGCGCTGTAGTCTGCCACAAAAGCAGCGAAGAAGACTTCCCGCCCATAGTTACCATGGTTACCCTTCTGTTTATTCTCCGCTGTGGCTTTTTTTTCTCCCTCCCCGAGGCAAGCGTTTGCTCCCGCTGCTTTAATTCAATGCAATCCCTCCCCGTCGAGGCAAGCACTGTAATTCTCTCCGGTTAGTCCACCAGCAGAGGACAAACACCCACCTCTCCGCCTCTTCCAAGGAACGAGGGGACCGTGCGGCAGGGTTTCAGTTTCAGTTTGTTTCGCCGGTCAAGATGTCCGTTAAAGTTTAAATCTTCCGGACAAAATTAGAAAAGTGCCGGTCAAAGGTCTTCTTTGTTATTTATTGAGCTTTAAAACAAATGAATAACGACTCTATAGGCCTATAATAATATAATAAAACACGGAGGACGTAGATCTTTTTTTCTCCCCCTCTTGAGTTGATCAGAGCACGGCTCCCCTCTCCTGCAGGGGGGCGTGGTCAGCTGCAGCTCACAGAATCAGCCCCGTAGACAGCAAACAGCACATAGAGCGAAATGAGGCATGGCTAAAATGCATGATCTGTTTGGTATTTTGAAAACAGAAACGTATAAATATACCTTATATAGGTATGGCCCTACAATATATCATTTAAATATAGCATGATAGGTCCACTTTAAAACAGAATCATTGTTGAAGCTCAATCAAGGTCTACCTTAAGGACATGTCAAATCTGAAAACAGGTTGATTTGTTGCCTGTCAGTTCCTTGAAAAACTTGCCCCAGGTTCATTCTAAAGCAAGTGCACTATAACCTGTTTGTTTTGCTTAGCTAACGGCAGTAACTGACGACGCTGGCACACCGAAAGGATTTTGTGTCAAGCTATGTTGTACTCGCTCACCCAGACTGCAGGCAGAGGCGCTGATACTAATCAATGAAAAAGGTATTACTGCAGCTAATGCCCAACAGAGTGGACTTGGCAGACGTTTCATAAATCCCTGGAGGAAATGTACCCATTGCTAAAAGAGATTCTGGAAGGAAGCCTTTCTTGAGCTGGAAGGGACAAAACCCCTCAAATTATTTAGGTAAACATAAAAACATGAGTGAGTGTGTGCAAGGCCAGGTGGTTGTTTATTTCCCCTCCTCTGTGAGAGAGCTGGAGCACCAGAGCCCAGTGAGGTGGAACGTCCCAGTAATGAGTTCTAACCTGTATCATAAGAAGCAGAACAGCAGGGGCAATTAGTCATATTTAGAGGGCAGAGACTCCAACATGACGCCTCGCTGCTGGCCACACAGGTAATTGGTGATACCCCCCCCATGACCTTGGCAGCCCGCATCACCTGTTACTGTTGAAGGTTGCAGGTTCCTTATGTGTCGCAGATTTGACAAAAGATAAACAGTTAGTAAATACTTAATACTTATATTACAAATTACATAGGTAGGCTGAGACAACAGAAAGCTGCTACCAAGGAGCAAAGTATATTTAGGATACAACAATAAAACTTAATTAGAACCAAAAGCATTTGCAATGAGTGCTATTTTTGTTTGTGATTTTAATATTTGTTGTAAATTGGGCATGTATATCATCCCTTCCCCTTATTCCAGCAAACAAGTTGTTCAACCCTTCCTTTATCTATGTAAGTAATGTATTACAGAAAAAATATTCCAGATCTGACGCAAATGATATTTGCATAGCTGACACCAATCACAGTATACATTTGTGTGATTATTCATAAATGTTGTAAAAACAAAAAATGTAACCTGTAACCTAACATACTAGGATACACAGTGTTTCCTGAACCTTTGGCACACACGCTAAACTCTGTTTGTGCTACAGTCTTGATTTGAATGCATGTGGTAGCTTGCCCTCTTTTATTTTCTAGGAAAGAGCAACAGGTATACAACTGAAGCAGAAAGGGTGAGATGCTCAAACAAACGAAATGGTAATCATATACTCTAACATTTTATTCAATAATTTTGCCTCAAAATAACAATAGTATGATTTCTTTAAACAATATGTTCATACTCGGGGAAATCAGAATATATTATAGTTAATATTCTAAGGCCTACTCTAAATAGTTAATCACAGAAATATAGCTAAATCAATTATTTAGCATTTCTCCATCAATACAAATGATGCATTTGTTTAATTCTCCTTCTCCTTTTGGTCCAGAAATGGGATTCGGCTTGTAGCAAAAGGAAATGAAATCCAAAGTTTGGAAATATTTGATGTGCTTTTATCTATTTGATGTGCCTTTCTTCAGCATCAGAGAGACATTTGGAGCTTGTAATGTGCCCATCTGCCTTCAAAGTGTTACTCTGTGCCGGAAACACGCACATGAGCATCCTGAAACTAACGAAGCGTCTCCCTTCAAGAGGACATTGCTGCATCGCTCCAGTTGAAGATATAGGTCAGGAGAGGTTCAGACACAGTTAAATTCATCTCTAAAACAGTCACCATTAATCCTGCGTAATGCTGCGTAAAACTGTGTGACTGAATGAAAATGTGTAACTCTGAGAGCACTGCGAGGTGACGGCAGGAAGGGGACAGACCTAATCCTCTCTTGGCTCTGTCCCTTCTACAGCAGAGTATTTTCAAATCATCTTCTCATTCACATTTCTTTTTGTGTCGGCGATAAACGAAAGAGGCTGGTTATTTGACTTGTGGACAGGAATGTCATTTTAATAAAAACATGGAAAGAAGAAAATAGATTTGTGTCCAGGTTCTGCAAAAGGAAGCTGATGAATGTCAATGTGAGATAAAACAGAAAGCAGAGAGAAATCTATTAACGAGATGTTGGGAAATGGATTTCTAATCAACAGGCTGGGAAATGGTTTCTTTTGTCAGTTTGGAGGCTGAGAGCGACAAGACCCGAGAACATATTGTTTATATTTGGTCCTTAAGCCATTATCAACTGTCAGTCTGTAAGCTCTCATGTTTGAAGACAGTAAATTGCATGGCTGAAAAAAAGGCATACCCTTTAATGGCTTCATTATTTTTTGGTTATTCCCTTCATGCATTATTGTGTCCCTTTTCATATTCTGGGCTGCTGGAACAAATTGTGACTTCCTGATTGATGCATGGACCTGTAACTGATGATTATTGTTGT